GGCGTCCTTTTCCTCGGAGCTCTTCTCTCCTTCGTGTCAGTCAATGCTGGCATCCGTACGATCAACCACGACCAAGTGCAACCGTTCGAAGAGATGGAACCAACCACAGACTCGGAGAAGTCTGCCATCAAGTACAAACCGCAACTCCACATCTCGTACGGCTGCCACCCGTATCCTGCTGTTCAGGCCAACGGCTCGATCAGTGGTGGCTTGAAATGGTCTGGCAAGACCAATGGCGACTGCGAACAACCTAATCTGGGGTCCCAAGTCTACTCGCGGTCGGACTGGTACAAGGGCAAATGGGCCATTATGTACGCTTGGTATTTACCCAAGGCAGCGCAGTTTATGCTGAAATTTGATACTGGCCACCGTCACTTCTGGTTGTATTCAATGGTGTGGACAGACAGTCCGAATCCTGACAACTCGACTATTCTTGGTGTGTCCATGTCCGGTAGCAGGGGCTACGTGAAGAAGCCTTCTCCAAAGACCAAGTACATTGAAAAAGGGACGACGATCAAGCTTGAGTCCTACGTGGGTTTTTGGATGGGCGTCCAGGCTCTTCGGCTAACGAAAAAGTCCGGTGAAACCCAGGATCTCGTCACATGGGAACAGCTAACAGACGAAGCGCGAGATGCACTGAGTGAGTTCGATTTCGAGTCTGATCCATCAATCTCGATGGTAGTGATGCCACTGAAGGATGACGTCTTCAGATCAATCCTCAAGGACTCATACCCGTTTGAGTAAGTTAGTGTCAAGGCAGATATTGCGTTACCTGGCGTGATACATGTACCTGCCATCATTGCCAAAAAAAAAAACAAAATCTACCAATACGACTAGCACACATTTTTGAACGTCGTATAATTAGCAGCTTCAGATTTCCACGAATGTGCAAACCGCAGGATAAAGAAAAAAAAAGCTTCCAAGTGTTTACAGGAATCATCTTTGTGATGTGAGCTTTATTCTTGTCAACTTTTTGAAGACGCACGAGTATTATCCTCAATCGTCATTATCATTGGCGGATGCGACATTCGCGTTGGTCTGTACTTATCGTGCCGCGGATCATTGACGTGGTCTTTAGAATAGCGTATCATTCCATGGTTTTTGTTGATGAAGAAAGGGAATAGTAACGACGGTATTATTGCATCCAACTAGGTTTCTGTGGCTGCTCTTCCCGGCAACGTCGATCGTGCCAGTGTCAAGGTCTATGGAAGTATAGACTGTTTATTGACTGTACCTCAACTGTCGAACAATCAAGTACCCAATACTTTATTGCAATCTTAATCTTTTCAATCAATCTTCAGCATAATGTAATCTATTGCCATTATATCAGCTACAGTTGCGGTGTTGCTAACATCCGATGACCATAACAGCAATCGTCCCTACCAATTGCCCTGTCCCCCTCGTGTTGATCCGGTAATGGGTCAAGGACAACGATTAAAGTGTGGATGCCCCGAGTTTCGAGGAATTCTCATCCAAGTATTTAATGTTATACTGCTCTTCATTACTGATAGAACCAGCACCATTGTTTTTGTCTGCAAACTCCGAATGTTTTTTTTTTCTTTTTCTTTTTACAAGTGGATGTACTTAGTAATCTTACATGAAAAAAAAATCCTGCTAGGTTTGAAGCGTGTTCACACCTTTCTCTCTTTGCAGAATGCGTTGATATAATGCCGAAGCGATCGGTTCTGGAGTGGCTCCACGATGAATGCTTCACTTTTAGTCACTAGAGATCTAAGAGCGTACGCTTCGCATGGACCGTTTGAAGTCCCGAGACTACCAAAACACTTTGGATAGAACTGTACTAAACAGCTAAGAGAGTGCTGCCGAGCCGGTTTTTCTTGGAGATATTTTCGTAACTGCATGAGCAGCGCATTCCCCAACGAGCGATATTGAGGACCTGCTTCTGCAGCAGTTCGATAATTGTTTACACTGTGATCCACAGTTTGACAGGATAGCTACTCTGCGTGAGGTAGAAGAACAGGTGAGTGCAGGTGTCTAAGACCGCATGAGAATGTGGTGCGCACTTACTTGACTCAAACA